CCCCAAAACCCCAAAACCCCAAAACCCCAATCATCTGTGTAACAATAATTTCAAAAATAATAGCAATTATAATTTAAAATGTTGCGATAAAGAGTTAGAGCTTTCGTTGTGAACTAAAAAAATCACCCGGCTCTCAGAAAGCTATTCAGACTAATGATATTTCTAGGCATTCTGTGGATACTTACCTTCCCTTACATCTCTAGGAATGTATTCACTTCCGAGAACGCCTTGAATGGTGAATTCTTAGAGACAAGTTTTGGCAAAGATGCCTACGGCTACTCGGCTTATAAGACAATTCAGGAGTAATTGAAGTCTATAGATCCGAGACAGGGCTACCGAGACTTCATTCTACAGAGGTTAGCTTCTAAAACAGAGGTGTATATATAGTAGCTCAAGAATAAGAAGACTTGGTCAGTAGATGATGTAAGTTAACTCAGCCAGGGAAATAATGTTTATGCGTATCTCAGATCTCCATAGGGATATGGGAATGAATGCAATTTGCTTGCCATGCCTATCAACCACAAGCCATCAGTTGCCATTGGACTAGCATTCATGGAGGTGTTTTTGAAGAACCAGCCTAAGTGGCAGTCAAAAGATATACTGGTATTGTTTTACGAGGAGAACAACTATGCTTTGAGCGTCAAGGAATTCCTAGACAGCTATTTCTACCAGGAGAGCAGTAAGGACTTCTTTTCTAAGAGAATTGAAGGCAGATGCGGCTACATTAGACAGGCATACACTTTTGTATTCCAAGAATACGAATTCAATAAGCTATCTGTGTTTGCGGATGGAAAGAATTCTGAGCTGCCTGACATTGATTTCTATGATACCAGCATGAAAGTCATTGGCAAGAATAATTTTGCTTATGATTTCAGTTTGCCTTACTATTTCAGGAAAAACCCCTATATTGAGAGAGCAAGTTCATGGGCTTTTAAGAATATGAGAGATTGGTACTTTGAAGCATTAAAACAGATTCTACCATTATTCAATTTCCAAGTCAATACCAAAGGAAGTTTTTTGCAGATGATTGAGAGTATTAAGAATCAATACATAGGCAGACCTCATATGCCTCATACCCACTTCATAAGTCATGGCATTCATTCAATGACTATCAAGGGTACTTATGATCCCAAGTAAAAGCAAGCGTTTTCAAATGATAGAGAAAGAGTACCCAGCACTCTCGGATTATTTGAACACCTATTCAGAGTTATTGACTAGCTAGACGAGTAATTGCACGCAGGTTTTTACTTCTACATTTTCACCTCAAAGACCACATTTATCTCTAATAACAATTTCGTCTACCCTATTGTGCTTATCCTAGTTGGATACTTCGTACCTATTCTGATTGACAGACTTGAGAAGTAAGAACATGATGAAGAGTATGCAAAGGATGCTCAGTCGATGAGAGTCGCCTTGATCTTCACTCTTCTAACTTATGCGATAGGCTACTTTATTTTGCTACTTCCTGGTTTCTACATGGAGTTCAAAGGTATTAACGACCAAGTTAGTGATCTCTGCTTGGGACCAGAGTCAATCAAGAGAAATCTAACTGACTTTATGCTACTTAGCATTGCTGGTATAGTCATTACTTTCTTGGTAGTCTTTAAGACTCTCTAGCCAAAGAACATGAAATACCTTTGGTTTAATGTAAAGTATTCTTACTGGCTGTTAAATCCAGTATTTTCCGGTTCACTTGTTGTCTATCAGTTCTCATAATCACTACTGCACTGTGTATTTATCTTTGCTATTGTCAGCTAGGCCACTTACATAGGTTAAGGCATGATTAAATTTCTTATATCAGTTGCTATGATGGGAGTAATGATTGCTTTTGTGGGATTAACTTTATTTGGAACTCTGATTATTCACAATGATGGGAAGACGCCACTATAGATTTTATAAGGTTTAGTTTAAGAAACAATATTGGATTATCAATGCGTTGGAAGTAATGTTTGGAGTTACATTTGTCTATTCTACCTGACTAGTTTTATTATGATGGCAAAGATAATCACTAATTGATATTTGCTCTTGTGCTTTAATTAACTGATTCTTGTTAATTCTATCATATTTGGAGTCAGGGGTTTTGGGGTTTTGGGGTTTTGGGG